TGGAAGCCCACCAGAGTGTGGCCCTCATTCCACTGGTGGCAGGTGAAAGTATTGGAGAACTCTTCCTGCTGTGTAAACGGCAGTATCTCTGAGCTTTCTATGTATTTGTCCTGGCTCCGTAGCCACTAAGCAGAGGGCCAACCACTTTGCTCTGTGAGAATCCTCAACCCTCTAGATGGACTTTCTTTGTCCCCTAGGTCTTCTCTCTGGAGCTATTCTTCCTTGTGCCTTGGTCCCCATGCCCTCTATTCTCCTAGTAGCTCTTCTTGAAGCACGTGGCAGAGTTGGGGTTAGGGGTGCAAAAAGCACAGACTTTGGGGACAGAGTCTGAGTATCAAATCTTAGTTATTTAAATTTGATTCTGTGTTCTTCTCTGTAAAGTGGAGAATAGCTACAGCCACCTCTTAGTCTATGAGGATCAAACAGAATTGGATCTATAAACTAATAAATGCAAAAGAAATATTTACTTCCATGTAGTGTTTCTTTCAAAGTGTGATGGATAGAGTTAAACTTCATAATTTTGATGTGATCTCATTAGAGGACTAAACTCCATCCCCTCTCCATGTGACACCATCATATTCCTTTATTTATATCACTTAAGAGTATAGCATTATCTTTTGTGGACAGTCAGACATACTATTAATTCATATTGTACCAATTTTCACTAAGTCACAGCCTTACTTAACTTGTTGACATTTTAAGCCTTAAGTGTAAGACGTTCAATCAGATGAAATTTGATTGGAATAAATGTTGTTGCAAATTAGTTATTTACATGTTGTTTGGTTTTAAGACTTTATTTTTTTTAGAGCAACGTTAGGTTCAGAGAAATATTTAGCAGAAGTTACAGAGAGTTCTCATATATCCCAGCCCACACCAGGCATGGCCTTTCACATTATCAACATCCCCAACAGAGTGGTACATTCGTTAAAGCTGATGGACCTATAATACATTGACACATCATTACCGACCAGTCTACTAGTATAGTTTGCCTTAGGATTCACTCTTGGGGCTGTACATTCTATGGATTTGGACAAATTTATAGTGACATGTCTCTGCCAGTACATTATCATACATAGTTTCACTGCCCTAAGAACCCTCTGTGCTCTGTCTTTTCATCATCTCCTCCCTCCTAACCCCTGACAACGACTGATCCTCTCACTGTCTCCATAGTTTTGTACCTTAACTCTGGTGTACTTGGAGGAGTTAACTTCTCTGAGCTTCAGTTTACTTCAGTGCATTGTATGACTAAATCGTGTGCCTTCTCTGGTTTTTACTCAGCTGATTAATAAAAATATTTGACAAGAATGGGACTCAAGACTGAACCTTGTAACACACCACTATCTGCCTTTCTCTAGGTTGAATAACCACTGTTGTTTGAATTCACATATCTGCCCCATCACCCAGACTACACAGTTTTGTATTTCAGGTATATCTGGACAGGCTTGGTCACATGCCTTACCAAAACCAAGTACTCACTAAGGTAGATTTCATTGGACTGTTTGTATCCCATTTCCCTTCTTCCATCTCAGATTTTGGGTGGATAGGTACTATTTTTTAATTCTCTTTTAATTAGTTCCTCCTTGTTCTTCTGAAGGATCCATGAAGGTCTCTGGTTTCTAGGCTACCACATTTCCTGAGTAGATGATCCTTTGACAAAATAATTTGAGTTGTCCTGGCTTCTTTCGGAAGGAGTCATTGTAGAAGATGATACATGTGTTAGCCGAAACAAATCTCCCATTTCATTTCAGGCTCATGTGTGTGCACATATGCATGCATGTCTGGTGGTGCAACAGCACTTAAATTACGTCTTTGGAACTCTTTGCTCCGGTCTACCCAGTATCTCCACCATCAAATCATGGCTTAGGTTCCTCATCACTTTTGCAATTATCACAGACAATTAGGATTCAATAGAAGGAGATAAACTGAAATTTAATTCTAAGCAGCAGCTCAGTCCAAATTCCTAAAATCTGGCCAGGTGGGGCGGTAATGTGTTTTGTTAGTGCAGGAAGGGAGGAAAGGAATGCCCTAGGAAATCATAATAAAGAGTCTTAAGCAAGTCCTTTGGTTGACAACTTTATCCAAGAAACCATCTTCTCTGGAGGCTGTTTTAAACTTTAGACGGCTCCTCTCCATGCCACAGAGGTCCTTTTGTTGGGAGGAATTGTCAGTGAACACAGGAGTGACAGGCTTCCGTAAGCACAAGCCAGACTCCAAATTCTTTCCATTGTCAGTCTCCCGTCTGTCCCGTTGTCCTTCCTGCCCCTGGATCTCTCTATCAGATAACGAAAGGGATAGAATGATTCACAAGTCCTCTTCTCAGACTGTTTCAGTATGTCTAATGTTTGAGCCAATCACTGTGAAATTCTACACAAATGACAATAGCAGTAGCCACCCACTGCTTTTTCTTCAAGTATGATGTACTGTGGACGTAATACATTTAAAATATTTTAGGTCACAGGTGATATTTAACATCCCGGTCCAGTGTGGAGTTAAATTAGAAACTTCTCAGGAAGCTGAAGCAAATTAAAACAGAAACAGCAGTAATGTAGCTCTGGAAGTAAATGAAGAATAAACAAAGTAAAAAAATAATGACATCGGACAGATTGAGTAAGAAAAACCTGTTAAAGATCATTGCAAAGTTATCGATAGGATTACATCTATTGATAGTAAAGGTGATAATAAATTGTAACAGAGGCAGCAGTTTACCCTGGGAAATAAAGAACGAGGTAAACTTTTAAAATAATCAAAATCTATCTTTGGATCTACAGACTACAGTTGCGCCACTTCACACTCCACTGTTCAAAACACACCGAGCTTTGAACTAAGATGTGTAAAGTGCCTGGCACGTGGGATAGGCCCAGTAAATCTTAGTGCCCTCTATGTCTCCACTGCAGACACCATATGCATTTTGACCTGAAACTGACATTTTGAGGGTCTTTTAAGAGTCTTACTATTGAGACGCTGCTGGCAGTTATAAGTCCTAATACCCCAATTTACATGTTGAATCTCTTGAAAAGTGAATATTTTAACATAAATTCAATTTAGTGGAAAAGACTTTCAGGCCCCAAGTGTCCGCTGATTACCACTTTAGTCTCTTTAACTTCCAGATTTTGCTGATACCAAGCCATTTATTAAGCAGCTTAATTGCTTTAGCTTCTCCCTTTTGTGGTTCCTCTCCGATGGGTTTTTATCTCCTTGCATTAGGAGCAGGGGCCCAGGGACATGGTGAGATTACTCCTGTAGAGGCCCCGCTCTCCTTCAATTGTTGGCGTAGGCATCAGGTTTGCCACCCTGCATTTAACCGATTTTCCATTGCGACCAATTCACATCTACAGGTAACAGTGCTTTGTGAAAAGCCACGATTGGTCAGAGAGGCAGTTTCTAAATAAAACCAAATAACAATACAAGTGATAAAAATGCTTACTGTGGCACCCCCATCTGAAACCATCTCCATCCCTGCCATTGATAATTCTATGAAGCACAAATCCCTCGCTGTATAGAATGTAGCTAAAGTAATTCTAGTATCATAACTAGTGGGTCTAAAATGGCATAATTACACAGTATAATCTCTGCTCTATCAAACATTGTGTCCGGGAAATGTCACATTATTGTATTGCCTGTTGTAATTCCAATTATATACTGTCAAAATACAAACTTAGGTATTTCATAAAATGCTCTGAGGAATAGCTATAATTCTAAGCATCCCTGATCTTTCCAAATTTCTAAGATTCCTATAAGACCCAGAGGGGAGACTCCTAGGTGCGTACATCATGTCTTTAAATATCAACAGCCAAAGAGAGAGCCGAAACAAAGTGGCTAAGAGCTGAATCCTGCCGTGTGAACAAAGTTGGGGTGTGGGGGAATATGCCAGTGGTGACCTTTCAGGCCCCAAAAGTTCTGTTAGGAAACATAGCCAAGCATGGTTGCCAAATGGGTAGGCAATCACAATCTAAGGTTTGTGGCTTGGGATATAGCCAGAGTCAGGTGACTCTAAAGGATGGCTGGCTGGCTCTTGCATGGGTGGGTCCCATCTTGAGCCCTCTGTTTAGATTACTTTTCCATCCGCCCTCCATGGAAGACCTGGTGCAAGAACTGCTCCTGTAGCATCTAGGGATGCCTATACTATGGTAGCGTTGGGGGTGGTCTCCCTGCGCCTACAGCGGCACTACCTTTAGGGGAATCCTTCACAGGAAGAGGAACAGCATCTCTTCCTCCTCAAGATTACTGTGGAAGGCAGGGCTACACCTGATTGGTAGAGGGGTCTCTTAAGAGCAGCGGTGTCTGGGACATTTGTGGATGGCTCCTGCCGGTCCATCAGGTCCTTTTGAGCTCTCCCTGAATAAAAGGACTCCCTGTAACAACCGAGCAGAAGGTGTAGTCTAAGAAGCCCGTGGAAGGGATGACTTGGTTCTCATAGGCCTCTAAAACCCTGCCCTGGTCAGGGCCAGGCTCTGCACCAGGTCTTCTCTGGCATTTGGAGGCAGGCTAGGTGTGGTCAGTTGCACTGCCACAGCGACCAAGCATCCTGGCTCCCCTGGAACTGGGCCAGTGTTAGCACCGGACGTCCCACAGTCTCAAGACACCCCTCAGGCTCAAGCGAATAGGGATGGTTGGTCGCCCTGACCTTTGGTTGTGTCCTATTGGCTGCCAGAGGAAACGCTGTAGTTAAGGGAATGCAGGTTGACAGCTGAAACCCTTTATTCCACACGTGTCAGCTGAAGGCCTCCCCGTGACCTTTCAGCTTTGTCTTAGGGGCCTTGCTCCTCCTCCGGGAGTGGGAGAGACAGGTGGTGCCCCACATCGCCCTCTTTCACAGCCGGAGAAGGCGGGACCGCCAGTCCCTAGAGTGGAAGTGAAGCACTAGGCACAGACAGAGGTGCGCAGGGTCTGGGAGCCAGGGCCTCCCCTCCGGGCGGCGATCACTTCTCAGTGCTGCCCACCTGGAGCCTCTCTGCTGGGACCACTCACCTGGAGGACCTGGGTGCCGCCGCCCTTTCCTTTCACCAGCATTTGCTGAAGTGGGCCGTGCGGGGGCCTTTCCGGTAGGAAGCCAGAAGGTCATACATTTCCGGCTTCAGCCTCACTCCTGAAACTGTAAACAAAGACTCCTCTGTGTGGATAGAAAAAAGGAGAAAAGCACCAACGTGTTATTTCCTGGGATTTCACGGTGCACTTTTTATGTCTTTGTAATATTTGTCACCTGAAGAGAATGTCAAAACGTGAGCCAGACTTACCCACCAATAAATCACCCTGACTCACGGATAACTGACTTCCCGGATTCTAACACCTGTCAAGCGGCTCCTGCTCAATCCACTTTAGTGCGTGTTTACCAAATGAATACTTGGGTAAGGCCTAGGTGTGGAAGGCGGTAAATGTAGGAATAGAACAGGGAGACACACACACTAACAAACAAGAGCCAAAAGTGAGGTGCAAACAAAGAATCAGGACAGTCCCTCCCAACCCCCCCCCCCCCCCCCCCCCCGCCACACTCTACCAAGGGAAACGCATGGGCAAGGCCCATGGAGCCGTGAAGGATGACGCTGTCAATAGCCAAGAGCTTCTAGGGAGGGATCAGCCCGAGGAAAGGTATGAAGGAAGGAAAGTGTGGGAGAGAACTGTCCGTAATTGTACATGGTTAGAGCTAGGCGAACTGGAAGATGGAAAAATAGAACCAGGAGGTGAAGGAAGTTAGCTATCAAGCCCAGGAGTCTGAACATTTACCCCAGTGACGATAGGCAACGGGCGCCATGCTAGGCTAGGTATGTTTTGGAAAGTTTCAGACCCTGTTACATAGATACCTTAGGCAATCTAGTTAAATAGACTCCAAATGCAGCTTTTGTAAATTAAAACTTTCTTTGAAAAACATATATTACATTTGTCATCTGACTCATGTATCTGGGTAGGCAGAGTGCGGGCAGTCCGTGTGGTTATAATACCTGTGTGTGCTAAGTGTGTCGTGCCCGGTGCTTCCCATGCTGACGTCATAGGCCGAGACCTCCTGAAGGTAACATGGTAAGGGGCTCATCTGCAAAATGGGGATAATACAACATCCTGGCAGATTGTTTTATGTCTGAAGAAGATCTATAGGAAACATCTTGGGTGGCTCCTGATACACTATGTACTTTTAACAACGATAGCCATTGTCACAAGCATCAGCATAGATTGCAACTGAGAGAAAGCAAGAGGCAGCAGTGACACTGTCACGAAGCACATCCCCAACACCTCCTCAGGACATCTTTCCCCTCGGGCATGGCTTTGCCAGGCTCACCACTGGCACAAACCTGTACGGCTGTAAGTGTCGCCCAGTTTACAGAAAGAGAAGCTTCCAGATCTGGCGCACCGAGAGCCTAAAACACCCGAATAATATTGTTTGCTGGGAACTGCTCACACCTGAAGGGAGGAACTAAACCTGCAGAGTGGGCTCCGCCTGGCTCGGCCTACACTTAGGCCAGTGGTCGGCAAACTCTATTAGTCCACAGAGCCAAATATTAACAGTACAATGATTGAAATTTCTTTTGAGAGCCAAATTTTTTAAACTTAAACAACTTCTAACGCCACTTCTTCAAAATAGACTCATCCAGGCTGCAGTATTTTGTGGAAGAGCCACACTCAAGGGGCCAAAGAGCCGCATGTGGCTTGCGAGCTGTAGTTTGCAGACCACGGGCTTAGGCTGTGAGTGATCTGTGGCCTGACCCCTTGGGCTTGGAGTCATATATTTTCCGGGGTTGAAAAGGAAGACATCAAGTTTGGTTGATAGGCCTGATACATTTTCAGAGGTACATTTTAATATGCAATTTCATATTCAACTTCTCTTTTAGCTCATGCCATAGCATAAACAGTCACGCAGTTAAAATAAACAGCGCAGAAACTATGGATGACTCTCCAATCAACTCAAGTCCAAACATCTTGGGAATTTCCCCGGGGGGGGGGGGGAGTGTTCTCTGGCCTTGGGGAGAGTGACATGAAGGTCCCTATCAAGAGCAGCAGCTCCTCAAAAGCAAGGAGAGAGGGAAGAGGGAGAAGGGGGAGAGAAAGGGAGTGAGGGGGAAAAGAGAGAGAGAGAGAGAAAGAGAGAGAGAGAGAGAGAGAGAGAGAGAGAGAGAGAGAGAGAGAGGGAGAGAGAGATATTATCTGACAGAACAGTCCTGGGAAAGCAATCAGTTAATCAAAAGGATTCCAATTTGGCCACGGACTGCCCCACTCTCCTTCCCAATTCATTGGGGGGGGGGGGGGAGGGAGGCAGGGGAAAGGAAAAAAAAATAAAAGAGAAAAAGAAAGAAGGAAAGTAGCATCTGAGCAGCTATCCTGCAGCAATCTCACAAACGCAAAGCCTTCCACTGGCTGACTCCTCATTAGCTTACCGAATCTGACAGCATAATTATAGCAGCCGCTCGCACTTAGAATAAATAAATACGAAAGTGGGTGTTTAAACACTTTTTGAGAAGAATTTGCAGTCATCTAGACAGTCAGTAGGACAAGTTTATTTAAAACTTTTAGAGTTTGCTGCATTCAGATCATTTCGGAACGGGATAATGAGATAGTTGTCTTTCAGTCTAATTGAGTTCCTAAGTTCCTGTCACCCCTTTCCAACTGTGCTTTAACTTTCCTTCCTTTAGAAATCTGATCCTGCTGTCTCCATTTACTCTTCCTGGCTCAGAACGGGGAAGGCACAGGGCACTGGAGTGCAGAAAGCGACTTAATGGGATTGAGGAGCTAAATAACCTTTCAAGGAAACCGGGTAATCAAATCTCTTCTACTTGTCTGTAATGGCTAAGAGAGAGAGAGCACAAGTCAAAACGAAAGCTTGGAAATAAGACCATCGTTCCTAAATATCCTGTGATTTCTCGTGTCATGTGGTTTTTGCACTACGCTCACCCATCATCAGTCCATCAGCCAAGTTGCTTAGTGCACTGAATTATTCCAAGTGCACACAGCCGTGTGAGTAGCGGTCATTTTAGCTCATGTGTATGCATATGGCCTCACATCCGTAAAGCCCAAAGGATCATAAGGGACTTTAATGGAAGCTGCTAACTATTATAGCAAGGAGTGCACTTAGACCTCTGAGTAGGAGCACAGCACCTATGCATTTCCAATGAAGGCAGATGATCTTACCTTACATAACTAATTAGTGTCCACTTATCTTTTCCTCTCCCCCCATCTCTCATTCTCCCAAGACCAAATTTACATGGACCCTTACATTCAGTGAGTTAAAAGCTTTATAAAATAAACATTCTGCCAATCCGGGATAAAAGAAACGAGTATTAATTGTGCAGAAAATTGTGCAGAGAAATTGAGGTTTATGAAGGTCAATAATGCATCTTACATTGGGAGGAAAAGGAGAAATCTCAGGTCCATTACTTCTCAATTCAGAGCTTAGACTCCCTGCACCATTTGCCACACTTCATTCTTTTGACAATAGAGACAATATAACAGCAACATTAAAGAAAACTTTACCAAAGGGGAAAAAAAATTATACACAATCCTCCTAAATTGGGAGAGTATTTTTATTTTTATATCCCACCTTTCCATGTTGTCGATATGCATATTCGTTTCACAGGTGCATCATAGTACGTAATTTGTATCCTACTGTCATAGCATAAACATTTCCACATTACCACATACTCCTGTGAATGATTTGAAATGGTAATGTGGTACTGTGTGCTGAGTCAGTACGTCAACGTTTGTTCAACTGGTTCTCTAGCGTTGAATAGTTAGATGGTGTCTTTCATTTTTATTCTGTAATTTTTCAAAATCATAGACAATACTGAAATGAACATTTTTATGCACAGAGGGCTTTGTTTCCTGTTCAATTGTGTTTGTTTGTTTTTTTGTATAATTTCCAGGAACCAAAGTATAGGGTTGTGACCATTTTTATAACTCCTGATATGTATGCCATAATGCTTTGCAAAGATTTCCCTACTGACACCAACATCAGCAGAGAATTCTTTTACTATAATCTCACGAACACTAGGAGTCATTAGGTTAAGGGGAAAAAATAAACTAATTTAACATTTATTTGTATTTATTTAATCACCAGTAGCACTGTTTATTCATTCAATGTGCTGATATATTTTTTCCCTTTGCAGAAATTGCTATTTTATACCTTTGCCCAATTTTCCATTGGACTCCTGATATTTTCTTATAAAATTGAATGAGTTATAGTGAAACAAAAAAATAAACCACCATTGATTAAGAAATTGAAAAACCCAAGGTGATTGAATATTAAAAAAAGAAGAAGAGAAATTAAGACAAAAGGTCAGGGGTCTCTGTTAAACATAAATTGTGCCCCACCCTGCCCTGCCCCGCACGTGCTGTCAGTGCTTTCTCTCCAGCAGCCACAGCTGCCTTGCTTTCCACTTTCCCTCCCTCTTCTTTCTATGCTGTCTTCAGTCTTCTCTCCTCCCTCCCTCTGCATATGCAAATTAACCGACATCTTTGTTGTGTTGATTTGCATACTCATTCTGATTGGCAGGTGGGCGTAGTTTATGTAGCAGAGTGATGGTTAATTTGCACATTATTCTAATATATATATATATATATATATATATATATATATATATATATATATAAATCTGGGTGAAACGTAAGTCAGAATTGGGCTACTGTTATTAAAAAAAAAAAATACACCTGCAGAATAATGTTGGATGGTATTAAGAGGAGGATGACATTCTTCTCCCTGGATAGTCTTCCTCCCCAGCCATCCAGACCCCATCATCTTTCACAACCCACTCACAAATTCATCCTTAGTCCCCCCAACTGGAGTTAATTTCACTTCCTTTGAACACCCAGAGCACTTCACACTTGATCTGCAGCTGTTTAGGTAGCTGTCTCATTTCCTTAAGGATTGCAAGCTCCTTGAGGACAGGGACCATGACTAATTCATTTTTGTATCCCTCAACATCACACCCATAAATCTCCAATGAATGAACTGGAACATGATTCTTCTACTACGTTAGGAAACTGAGTCTATGTTCGGTTCATAATCTCAGAGATAAGCAAAACAATTGGAAGAGGTTCAGAATAGAATAATGAAACAAAATGATGAAAGAGTGCGAGAAATAGAACTTATATTTGGGAGGGGGGTGGGTGGAGAGGAAGGTCAAATAGCAAGGGATCTTCAAACATATTAAAGAAATAGTATTAAAAGGAGGCCCGAAGTTTGCTTATTGGAGAAAAACAAAGAAATTACTCAGGTTTTCATGAGCAATATGAGTAAGCCTGCTGAGTCCAACCAGAGCTTAGCTATAGCGTGGTGTGATGAAGGGCTGAGGTGTGCCATACCTTATCCTATTCCCTACAAGAATAAAAGTGTGACAATAAGGACTCTGGTAAACTGTTTTTGCAAAATTACTTGTAAAACAATTGTAAGTTTTTAAATTTTAGCGTGCCTAACCCCCCCCCCCCCAGTGTCTCCCCCCCCTTCCCTGTTGTCTCTCCCCCCACAAGATACTGAAACCTGCTTAAAGGAGAAGGGGGAGTTAGCCCAGGAAAGAATGGGAGAGACTCCTGCCTGGGATTTGGAAAGCAAAATGGGTCCAGTCCACACAGAGAGAGCCTTTGATGTCCTGGCGATCAAGGACCAGGGCTTAAGGACCAGACTCCTAAATCATGAGGCATTTACTGCCCTAGATGAAAAAAAAAAGAAAATACTTTTGTGCATCAATGTCTGTGATTCAACATGGCACATTTCCAAATTCAGTCTTAACCCTCAGAGGGTCAGGTTTGGAGCGCTCCTGGCGGGAGCAGCGCGGAGCCCGTTGCTAGAAGGGGCAGCTTAATGGTTTTCTGCTCTCCCACCCCGAAACCATCAGAGTGTTCCTTTCCCGGAGCCCAAGTTCAAGCTGAGGGCAAAGGGAATTAAATGAAGAAGCTGAAACTGCAGCTAAGACCGGGGAGTTGCCAAGGACCTAATTTTAGGTCCCGGCTGCCCCAACTGACGCCCTGCTCTGCTGGCTGGGCCGGGAGGATTGCAGCGTGGTCACCGGGGACGGAGGGAAAGAGGCGTCTGCCTTGCCATCTGCAAAAGCCATCAGTGCGGTGTGGGTGTGTTTGGAGAGAGACTCCCATAATTTCTCCTCTGACAAATGTTTCTTCAGGTGTTCGAGAATCACGAGGGGGAAGCGTCGGCGCTGGGCAGAAGTTCCCACATGCTTGCCCTTCTGACGGTCACGCTTCTCCACCTCGGAGTGCTCCCCAAAAGGGAACGGATCCCGGAATCCCTGGCGTCTCGTGGCAAGCAGCCCCCTGCTTTCCTCTGGCCATCGCTCCCTGCCACAGCCCCCGTGTTGCCCAGCACGTCCCAGGCTCTGTGAGCTGGACCTGGAGGGATGGGGCCGTGCTTGCACTAGAGGGAGGGTTTCTAGGTCTCCCTCTGGCCTTCAGCCGGTCCTGCCTCTCCTCACCTACCGCCCAGCCGCAGGTTTCATGCGGAGGGCAGACCGTGGGAGCCGGTGTCTCCCAGATCAAAGGGGAAACAACAGATGTTAAAGCAACGCCTTTGCTGTCCTGCGCCCGGAACAATAAAGGGATAGACATATAAGCCCCCAAAGCACACTCCTCTCCGAACTGTCACCAGAGAGCAGCACTGCTTGCAGAGGTATGGCCAGGAAACTCTCTTGACAAACCACTCCCAAGAGCATGTCTTCCCTTCGCACAATTCTCATGCCTGGGCCCCCCCACCAGGGACGGGGATACCAAGTCTGCATCCCTACAGGTTGGGAACTCTGATCACTGGCGGGAGTTCCCTATCCGAAAAGGAGACTGTTTTTGTATACATTTTTTAAGAATTTATTTTTATTGACTTCAGAGAGGAAGGGAGAGAGGGAGAGAGAGAGAGAAAAACATCAGTGATGAGAAAGAAGCGTTGATCGGCTGCCTCCTGCACTGGGGATCGAGCCCACACCCTGGGCATGTGGCCTGGCCGGGAATCGAATGGTGACCTCCTGGTTCAGTAGGTCGACGCTCAATCACTGAGCCACACCGCCTAGGTGAGACTCTTAATAAAGGCTCCCGGCGATGGGCAATGAAAAAGCAGGCTGGCACTGCAGGCCGAGGGAGAGCATCCCTCAGGGGCTGCTCCCTGGGTGAGGCCCACTGTGGTCCAGGGGCACACCCTGGCCCCAGGACTTCTCTCTCTTCCTCTCTCTTCCTTCCGATCTTCCTGGTCGGTTCGCTTTCCCTGTCTACGTATCCCAAGTCCCCCGTGTCGGTCTGTCTCTACCCCTGCTTCTGCAGCCCTCCCGCGTGCACACGTACACACATACGCGCACACAGCGCCCCTCCCGCCCCCCTCCCGTCTCTGGGCGCTGGCCCTTTCATCCTCTCCCTCGGGGATTTGAGATGTCGCTGCAGGAAGTGCTTGTCGGCCTAGGCAGCAGCAGCAGGGCCCTGTGGCTTTGACAAACCTCATTTAATTGGGAGGAAGCCAGGAGAATTTGAAAGAACTGAAACATCCACGAGGCTCCTTTTATCAGGCATAATTTAAACTCGGCATGGAAAAACCCCTGTATGTATAAAGAAAAGTCAACTTCCCCCCTGCTGCGAGCGCTCGCCGTCTCCCCACAGCGCGGCCGCCTCCTGCAAGATCCCATCTTTTCATTTCTCTAAAAGTGTCAGAGCAGATTTGGGCCCTGTGGCTGGGCGAACAGCGCAGGAATACAAATTGGCTTCTCGGCTACACCCGCAAGCGTGCGCATGCCCCCCCCCCCCCACTCGGAGCCCCTCGGCCGGCGGCTTGCTTCAGCCGGCCAGGGAAATCAAAACCCACGTTCCTCACAACACGTCCGCGAGGACGGTGCTGTTTCTTCCTAATGACCCTCATCAGGCAGAAGCTGGCGCCCAGCAAACGGGGAAGATCCCAGCTGCTCTCTGTGTAGCATCACAGATCCTGGAGGAGGACCAATGGGAGAAGTTTCTTCAAGCGGCGAGAGGAGAGTGTGTGCGTGTGTGTGTGTGAGTGTGCATGTGTGTGTGCATGTGTGTGCGTGCACGCGTGTGTGAGAGTGTGCATGCGCGCGTGTACGTGTGTGCATGTGCGCACGTGCGCGTGCGTACACGCGCGTGCACGCACGCGTGTGCATGCGCGTGCACGCGCGTGCACATGCATGTGTGTGCATGTGTGCATGCACACGTGTGTGAGTGTGCATGTGTGCGCTTGCGCGCGTGTGCATGTGTGCGCGTGTGTGCACACGTGTGTGCACGTGTGTGCGTGCGTGCGTGCGTGCGTGTGTGTGTGTGTGTGTGTGCACGGACACCTGAGCGTGTAGACCTGCCTGATGTGGTAGCTAGAAATCCTCAGGCCCAGAGGAGAAAGCTAAGAAGGAGAGACAGAGGGGCTCAGAGCGGGGAGAGGGGAGGGGATGGGGATGTAGGGGGGGGGGGGCGCCAGGAGGGTACCAGTGAGACTTCCAGGTTGCCAGGAGTCCGTTTGACTCAGCCACAGGCCAGACCCGGTCCCTTCCCTCCTTTCGCATTCCACTCCAGGCCCACTTCCAGTCTCATCCATCTCACTGGAGCTATTCTAGTTCCTCCCAAGACTTGCCTGGAGCGCACACACATTCCCCGAACATCTGCAGCTGATTACGCGGGCTGGGGCTGCTTAGATATGATTTGTGCTAATATGTGCGCGGGGGTGCCCCGCTTCCTCCTGCTCACCCTCTCTCCCTCCCACGCAGCGGGATCCTGGAGGTCAAGGACAGCCTGCCTCCCCCCCCCCACACACACACACACTCGGTTTTTATAGCACTTACTATGTCCCTAACCCTTAATGGCAACTTAATAAGCACCGACGGACTCTTCTCACAGGGTCAAGTAAGGCACATTAACCCCAGCTCATGGTGACGGTTATTTTTGGAGGTCCTCAGTGACTCACGTAAATAATAAACCACCTTCAGAAATCCCACACGAAGAGCACTGGGCTGCGGCAGGATGGTGTCCAGGATGCCGTGGTGCTGTGTTTGCAACCCTGGAGTCGCTGGCCAGACCAGATGTCTAAGGACCTTGGGCAGAAGCTCCTCACCCCATCCCGGTACCTTCTCCCCAGGCTGAGCCCCCAGAACCCCCTTCTTAGCTTCTCTCCAGCATAGGACTCCTAAAAACTGCTCAGAGTTGAATGATGGGTGTTTTCACCGAAGGCTAGTTCCCCCCCAAACAGCCGGGGGCGTGACCACCCTGCCCACATCCTCCGTGCAGCCCTTCCTGGCCACAGCGCAGAAACATGAGGAGCTCCGGCCACATGATCCCTCAGCAGATGGCAGATTTGGAGGATGACTTCAGGCCCGGGCCGCTGAGCTGATTTCAGGGGAACGTGTGTTTCCCCGCGGGCCTCCGGCCTGGGCGGACGCCCCCCTCCCCGGGAACCCCGCCCCAGTACTTCCCTTGGCAGCATCAGGTTACCCATCAGGACCCGCTCAGCTCTCCTCGCTGACATATCCGTGTCACCTCTCATCTTCCTCTCCTTGGAGAGCCGCGGCGTTGTTAGCAACGCTGGTTCTGCTGCTCCCGGCAGATGCCAGCGAAAGCCAGCCACTCCAAGGCCACTTTCATCTCGCCCCGCGCCACAGAGTGAGTGTGTGCGGGGAAATGTTTGGATCGTTACAGGGAGGTCTGTGTCACCTCCGCCCTCCCTTGCCTTTGAGCTTGAGAGAATCTCATGCAACACTCAAGCGAGATGGGTCCCATCTTGCTTCTCCCGGGCTAATTGATCTCCAAGCTCACTTCTGGCTGCAAAGTCTGTGATTCTCCAGGGCTCAGAGGCAGTACTTCGCACGGAGACAGGCATGTGTGTATACACACACACACACACACATGCACGCACGCACGCACACACACTCACCATCGGGAAGCTGGTGCAGCTGAGACGGCAGGGAGCTGAAATAATTATGGACCAGGGCCTCCTGCGCAGAGACGCGGTCTCTCGGGAAGCCTTTGAGCATTTGCGAGGCCAGGTCTTCGGCTTCCGGAATTCTGCCCAACCTGGAAAAGCGGGAGAGAGAATGTGAGGTTCTCCGGAGAGCTCCCTTCCAAAGAAATAAACGGGGAGAGGAGAGCAGTAGAGAAAAGGGTGTGTCAAACAGAATTTTCCTGGGGTTAGGCAAGTTGGTGGCATGCGGAAAAATCACGCCCACACGGAAACTCTCACCTGTCCTGTTACTAAGAGGAAGGGAAATCTGTGTTCTATCATTCCCCCACCTCCCCCGCCAGCCTCCACAGTGTCTCTAGCACCATCTATATTATAAACACACAGTGGCCCTAAGGATATAACGACCGAACGTACGGTCACCAGGAGGCACCCTGGGGTCTGGGATGGGCGTGAGACTCTAGTATATACGTAAAAGACCCAGAATTATCATTATAGAAGCAGAAATATGTAATTAAGGACTCTTCTTTGAGAGACACAGCAGGCTGAACAGCCCGATTGGAAATATGCTCCCCGGGTAGCAAGCACAGATTCCTGCCTGGGGAGGAGGGAGAGAAGCAATTTTGGAGGCCAGATGGGAAACACCCCTAGGTACAGTGTTTCTGAAGCTCAGCTCTCAGGGTTCTGAGGTAAGATGCTTCTTGGTTCTCCCTGAGATGGAGCCTAGGAAGAGACATAGGTAAGTACCCAAATTACAGTAAGGACAGATCCTGAAGTGTGCCTGATGCTGAATTGTGAATCTGGAGAGAAGTTAATCCATTAGTTGAGCAGCTACTATGTGCTGTAGATGCTTGGCTCTGAGAGATACAGGCAAGACTCTGCCCCTTGGTCTAGCAGAGGAGTCAGACACCAGACAAATTATCATACAAACGCATGAGTACAACTATGAAGGAGAAGGCCCAGATACCTCACTGAGAATGGAGGAGCTGGTCAGGGAAGGCTTCCCCGAGGAAGCAGCATTTGAGCTGAGAGCTGAGGAACTGGGGGAGGCGATGTAGGCAGAGATCTGTGGTGCTCATACGGATAGATCCTGGGGTTGAGGGAGAGGAGTGAGTTTAAGGGGAGAAAGGCCTGTTGAGTGGCCTGGACAAAGCATGGGGGAAAGACCCCCTAACTGATTTGGCTCAGTGGATAGAGTGCTGGTCTTTGGACTAAAAGGTCCTAGGTTCAATTCCAGTCAAGGGCATGTACCTTGGTTGCAGGCACATCCCCAGTAGGGGGTGTGCAGGAGGCAGCTGATGGGTGTTTTTCTCTCTCATTGATATTTCTAGCTCTCTATCCCTCTCCTTCCTCTCTGTAAAAAATAAATTATATATATATATATATATATATATATATATATATATATATATATATATATATAATTTTTTTTTAAAGAGTGGGGATAGATATGAAGATGGGGAGGGTGGCAGGGGCTAATCCTCCAGGCCTATGGTTCTTTATGCTTCCCACTTACTTGTAATGTTTGAGAGTCTTTGCTAAACGAGTGCCAGTCATTGAAGTATACCCATCTTCCAGAGCCCACTGAAGGGTTTGCAAGTGGAAAGCCACAAAAGCAGGTCCCGGGAGGCGCTACTGAACCACAGGGCTGGTGTGTGACATTCAGAACTAAATTGCGTGGCCATGCAAATTGCCAACCAAGCCAACACAGAGGGGCTTATTTAATGTCAACTCGACGTACCAGCCTGAAGCACTGAGAGCAGACACCTTTCCAGGATGCAGGGCTGCTGGGATTCCTGGCCCAGAATCCTAATTTGCCTAATTTTTGCATAAGATTTACATGATACACTTTCAGGCGTCTCATTCCCATGACATGAAACTATTCCTACAAACAGGTAACTTGACCTTCACACTCAAGAGTAATGGCTTTAGAGACTTAAAGAAAACATTTGCAAATCCTCGGTCCTTGCAAATTTCCAAGCCAGTTAGGAGACAAGGGAATCTGGGGCAGAGGCCTGCCCGGTAGCTAGTGGGTATGGGCGCCCTGTCAGGGTTGGGTTTTCAGGACTGATGCAATGGGGTTGGAGTGGGAAAGCTGGTACGGATCACTGGGCCTGATCTCTCTCCAGAAGGAGATTCAGGGAAAACCTTGTGAGGAAACTGTTTTAGGTTCACCCTTGCTATAGAGTGGAAGGATGAGTGCCAAACTTGGGGCCTGAACCCACACTGTGAATTCCGGGGGGGGGGGGGGGGGGTAGGTGGTCATAGTGAGGAGGGAGCCATGCATCTATCCTCACCCACCTCCACCCCCCACCCCAATCAGTGCTTTGTTCGCTCGGCACAATCCCACCGGTTAGATTGTTACAAGTAGAGGAAGGCTGCAGGACTGTGGTGGACTGGTGTCAGCATGGCGTGCACGCTGTTTTATCTAGCCCAGTGGTCGGCAAACTCATTAGTCAACAGAGACACATACCAACAGTACAACGATTGAAATTTATTTTGAGCCAAATTTTTTAAACTTAAACTTCTTCTAATAGACTCCACTTCTTCACAATAGACTCGCCCAGGCCATGGTATTTTGTGGGGCCAAAGAGCCGTCTGTGGCTCGCGAGCCGCAGTTTGCCGACCACTGATTTAGGCTGTTTATGCTGATGGCTGGGGGAAGCCAGGACAAGCTGATGGAGCTCAGGGGATGGCAGGGACACACAGGAAGAACCGGCCACCCTGACCAGAAAATTTAAAGACAGGAGAGTAGGTCCTGATGGATGATGACCTGAGGACTTCTGTGTTAGGACTTTCCTCCTCAACCAGCCAACCTGCCCCGCACCCTTCCCATGAGGTTGTACCAGGGCCTCTGGTGGTGTCGGCATTGGTCTCAGTCCTGCGGCCTCCAAACTATGACGGCCACCACCCACTCCTTCTGCCTCTTGGCTGGCAGGGGCGGCGACCAGGGCAAAGTGTACCAGTGAAGGCTTCTCCTCCTGTGAGCCAGTCTCCTGTGGGTCTGCCCTGTGGAAGCCCAGGGCAGTGTTCAATTACCTATCTCTAGATAGGAATGGGGGCCTGTCCACTGGCCAGAGAACGTCCACACATTTTGGAAGAAATGATAAACAGCAGCTCCCTGGAGCCTGCCTTCAAAACAACAGGGACTTTCAGGTGGTACGGTGCGTTTAAAAATAAGTGTGGGGGCTGAAACCGCTTTGGCTCAGTGAATAAAGCATCAGCCTGCAGACTGAAGGGTCCCGGGTTCGATTCCTGTCAAGGGCATGTACCTTGGTTGCGGGCACATTCCCAGTAGGGGGTGTGCAAGAGGCTGCTGATTCTCTCTCATCAATTTTTCTAACTCTCTATCCCTCTCTCTACTTCTCTGTAAAAAAATCAATAAAATATTTTTTAAAAAATCATGTAAAAAAAAAAAAAGAAATTAAGTGTGGGGTGTGCAGACATCCTTGTGTGTGTGTGGGGGGGAAGGGGGGATAGTGCAGGGGCAGGGTGGTGGCTCCCAATAAGAGATCCTTGGCTAATTCATGGCTCTACATCCCGACCTGCTCTACTCTCTGCACTCTGGTAGGCACGCCACATGGAGGCTTTCTGAAGCATGTGAACACTGACTGTACTGTGTCTGGGAAATCAAACGGAATTTGGTTGGGTTCAACGCAGCCACATTTTCAGGGAAGAGTGACATGGAATGTTCAGTTGGGATCTCGCCTGCCCCCCCCCCCCCTTCATCCCTCCCCACCTGCGAGAGTGTGTTTTTCTTTGACATTTGAGCCCGTTCCCCTGTCTCTGATGTTTCCCTCACTGCCCTTTTTGCCTCTTCACTGAAGCAAAAAGAACAGAGCCTCGGCTAATTACTCTCAGATCAAATAATACTGGTTATTGTAATTGGTCATTGTCCGAAAACACTGGGTTCTTCTTAGCCCGGAGGTTGCCTGGCGCGGCTTAGTTAGCTAACTATTCCCGGAATGCCGCTATTATCTGTTTTACTTTGCAAAAGAAACTAGGGATTTGTTGAAAGCTGGTAATAAAAGTCGGCCCGGTCTGCGCCGAGACTGGGTGGAGAGGGCCTGGGAAAGCATGACCCCCATGAATCAAGCTGCCCCCCCTCCAATAGCCGCTCAATGATGTTATTTGGTTTCTCTGTGTCGGGGAATAATAAACCCGCTAGGTTTTCTTGCAGGCCAACACTCCCTGTTCTCAGGGCCTCGGGCGTGGTGGAGGGGCCCAGAACAATTTTAATGGCCAGACGCAGTGAAAGTAAAATGGTTCTTAGAGAAAAACCAGCAGGCTCCCAGGTGACTGGCCAGCTCTCCCCGAGGCCTCTTCCTGGGGTGTGGGTCCCCAGATCGAGGCACTCGGTGGACTGAGGTTAGGAAAAGGCCCCTTCAAACCCTGCTTCCCAAGGTGGTGCTCACCTGTTCCAGACGTTCTGCAGGCTCTGTGGTTTCAGCAGTGGGAACCATTCTGAAAGGCACACACAGGCACGTTACAAAGAAAACGACCCTAAACTCCTGCTTCCAAAAATATTAAACCCGGAATGTGCTCCTTGGCTTGGAGGAAGAGGGAATCCAGGTTCAGGTAGACAAAGTAAAGGATGTTCTCACTATGGATATTTTATGATTCTGTGTCACTATCAAATCTCTGTTTCCCACTCCCCCCAAATCCATATGTTGAAGTCCTAACCCAGGCACCTCGGGATTTTACCTTACATGGAAATAGGGTTGTTACAGATATAATTAATTAAGATGAAATCATTAGGGCAGGCCTTAATCCAATGTGATTGGAGCCTGGCCAGTGTGGCTCATGGGTTGAGCATCGACCCAGGAACCAAGAAGTCACCAGTTCCATTCCAATCAAGACACCTGCCCGATTTGCAGGCTCCATCCCCAGTAGGGGGCGTGCAAGAGGCAGCCTACCTATGATGTTCCTCTCTCGTTGTGGTTTCTATCCCTCTCCCTTCTTCTTGCTCTAAAAATCAATAAACACAATTTTTAAAAAGGGGGACAGAGACAGACATGTACAAAGGAAGGCAATCTGAAGAGACACACGGAAAAGCCAGCCATCCGCAGGAGAGGCCTGGAGCAGACCCTCCCTCAGTGCCCGCGGGAGGAACCAATAACCCATCCTGCCCACACCTCACTCTCAGCTCTGCCTCCAGAACTGTGAGGTAACACATTCCTGGGGTGTACACTATTCGGTTTGTGAGATTTTGTTACGGCAGCCCTAGCAAACTGATTATAGTTTGTAAAGCCAACAAACACTGATTTAGCATTTACTGTGTGCGGAGAGCACAAAGGAATCGGCCACCCTCTCAGAGCTTATCGTTCATCTGAGAGAACAAAGTTTGCTCCCCTGAAAAGTTATGTGACCGATGATGACGGGGCAAAGTCTCAAAAGAGGTCAAAAGTAACGGGGCTAATTTTCTATATTACTTGCAGGAAAAATGGAAGTGGATCCTGGCTTGAATGATCCAAAATGGGTGACCATAAAACATGTAATCTTCTTTGGAGCATTCTTTATAACATTTACGTGTGTCTCCATGTGTTCCAATTATTCTTGGTATTGACACTATTTAGCCCAAAACAAAATCACCATAAAAGGGAAATTCCTCTCGGGAATGCTTATTGAATGCTTCCTCTATAGAAGGGCCGTGAAAGGAGCTGTAGTGGATATGAGCTGATGCTCCTATCAAATCCTTGTTTCCCACTCCGGTGAGAAAAGAGTATTTCAACTCCCATTTAAAATGATGTGTTCACCTTGTTCTTTTCTTGGGCCGGAAATGTAATTGTTTTTAAAAGATCTCTTCTTCCAGCTCCCGCCGGAATGGAAAACACCAAGACTGTTTACCCAACAAAGAACTGGACCGATTTTGCTAATGCTGACAAATCCGCTTGCATGTGCACAGCAAATGACCTGGGAGACTGCTCACCAGTGATGATGGTTACACACAGGCTTTTCTTCTATGTTTACTTTCTTACATTTATTATTTTAATAAAAATCACATATTTTTTGAAACTTCAAAAGTAATTACTTTTTTTAAAAAATATGTTTTTATTGACTTCAGGAAGGGAGAGGGAGAGAGAGAAACATAAATGATGAGAGAGAATCCTTGATCGGCTGTCTCCTGCACGCCCCCTATTGGAGATTGAGCCTACAATCCCGGGCACATGCCCTGAGAGGGTATCAAATTGTGACTTCTTGGTTCATAAGTCGAAGCTCAACTACTGAGCCACACCAGTTGGGCTTCAAATGTAATTTCAATTAAAAATGAAATGTATAGCCCTATCAAGTTTGGCTCATTGGCTAGAGCGTCAGTCTGCAGACTGAAGAAGGGTCCCAAGTTTGATCCCGGTCAAGGTCACATGCCCAGGTTGCAGACTCAATCCCTGGGGATCAAGCAGGAGGCAGCCAATCAATGATATTCTCTCATCACTGATGTTTCTATCTCTCCCTTTCCCTTCCTCTCTGAAATCAATAAAAATATTTTCTTTTAAAAAAGAAATGTGTCTTGCTAAACATTGTAGAGGGAAAGGGGTAGTTAAAGAAAGCAACTGAAGTCAAGTTTTCTTTTCTTTTTTTAAAAAAATATATTTTATTGATTTTTTTTATAGAGAGGGAGAGGGACAGAGTTAGAAACATCGATGAGAGAGTATCATCAGCTGTCTCTTGCACGCCCCCTACTGGGGATGTGCCCGCAACCAAGGTACACGCCCCTGACGAGAATCGAACCGGGGACCTTTCAGTCCGAAGGCCAATGCTCTGAGCCAAACTGGTTTCGGCTGAAGTCAAGTTTTCAAGGTCAGATGCAATCAAATGTGACCACTCTGCTGGCGTTTTACAGCCCCAGGTAGGCTCTAAGGGAAGCCCTTGCACATACAGGTTATTTACTCTCCGGTGGGATGATTGTGCCTAAATTCAAATAACCAGCGAAGATAAGACTATCTGGCATTTGTTCCGAATGTTTATTTCCAAATCACTTTCTGCTGGCTATTTGCAGTCCTTCCCTGACCAAACAAAATTAAAATATTTCCTCCTTCGTAATGAAATCCATTTCAATCCTCTCCCACGGTCTGTTTTTTCCATACCCAGAGCCCTACGTGCGGTGTTTTTGACCCTTTGTATTTTAATACGACTTCCAACTTTAGTGTTGTTCTTGAGGAACATGGGTTTGGGATAAACTGAATGGGGGTTTGAACACTGAACCTAGGGTATGAAACTGCTGCTTCCGTTTCACTGAGACCTTGAGGTGCTTTCACCGTGGCCAGCCTGCTTCCTGGACTTTCACAAGCACGAAGTGATTCCCAGAATGTGTTGATTCGTTGAGATAATGAATGTAAAGTGCCTACCTCAGAGCATTAAACAAAATAAATCCTGTTTGCTGCTCTTCTTCTCACTCTGCCTTTGAAAAGTGATGGCGGGTGAACTGTGTGTGGTTAGGACCCTAGACCTGGGTTTGGAGTCCACACTGTGCCCCTTACCAGCTGTGTAACCTGCGGGTGTTGCTTAACCTCTCTGGGCCTCAGCTTTCCCATCTGGGGTAAGGACAGTTCCTACTGCACAGGGTTGCTGTGAGAATGTAATGTAAGTGATTCCTTATGCTTTGCCTCTGCTCTTTCTTTGGTCTCATGCACCTCGCTTTCCTCCCTCCTCTCAGGTGTTTCCACCTTGTTGTTCTCCCTAGAAACCTTGCAATTGCACTCTACTAAAATTCTACTGTGCTCCAAGCTTAAATTCTTATAAGCCTGATTTGATTTCTCTTGAGTCCTCTGTGTGGGCCAGAGGCATGTTTCTTAGCGATGTGGTATAGTAACATGAACACAACCCGGGCTAAAATCACCTTACTGCCATCTATAAACTTGGTAATTGGGGGTAAATTTCTTAGTCTCTGTGGTTAAGTAACTCCAAAGTTTTCAAATCTGTAAAATGGGGATAATGTTCCCCGTCAGATGGGAGGATTAGATAAGATTACACACTGGGTGTGTCGTAGAGGCTCAGTAAATGTTAGTCTTTATGCATGTTCCTTTTTTCTCCTGGCTTTTACTTGTTTTGGAGAGCTAGCACGGGCTTACCACGTGCTTCTCAGGCCACGCTGCTTGTTGGCATCCATCCTTCGGGAGAGTTTTGAAGCCCTGGCTCCACACCCCAGAGTCTGATTCCCCAAGCCCGGGCGGGCCCAGCCTCAGCCCATTGTTGTGTGTTGTTATTGTCTTTAATGGGCTCCAGATGTTTCCAGTGTGGCACAAAGTGAGGCCAAGGAGGCTGGCCTGGCAAGGAGGCCAGGGCTGACCACTCACCAGCGACTCCCACACACTTCTCTGAGCTTCTTGGGAGGATTCACTTAAGCAGTGGATATAAAAATTGCAGAACATAGTGTCTGACACATAAAATTCGTTTTTCAAGGGTGAGAAAAAGGAAGCCTGATAAGGCAAAAATCAATTTCCATAAATTTCTCCCTGAAAGGATGATCTGAAAGAGCTGCACTGGAAGGCAATGCAATAACATGGAACTTGAGGTTCCATGTCTTGCATAGGTGGTTCCTGACCCTCTTCCCACATCTATTTTGTAGCTGCATCAGCTAAGATGGAGGGATCCATGTGTCCAGAGTCGGCCAGGTTGCTGTAATGAAGCCCAGCCAAAGCCCAGTGCCGGTTCCTAGCCTTCCTTCTTCTCATTCCTATGCAGTGACCTAATGTTGAATGACCTTGTTTCTCTCTTATTGATTCCCTCCCCTCCCCAGTAGTTAAGCTGCAAGTGATCAATGAGAGAATGACCTACAAACAGATGGGCATTGCACACACTACCATTTCAAGAACAGTCCTCTTACTCTGGCTTCGGTTGCCTCTAAAAATCATAGGTCTCTAGGCAATGTATTTCCCTTCTCCTACCAAAGATGATAGTAAATCATCAGAGCAGATTTTTCTACATTTCCTCCTTCTGCAGTTCTCTTTATAAGAGTTCTCATTGGAGTTCAATGGGCATTCGAGGTAGGCAAAGCAAAGAAAGCTGCAAAAGGAAACTTAAAAAGCTGAACTTTAAGTTTCCCGACTAAATAGAGTAAAATTAAAATGATGGCGGAATTGTTGCTATCATAGTCAGATAATGATTTTTTTCCCCCCATAAACTTTTACAAAAGCTCTTTTTAAGAACAGTGACCTTAGTCAACAAAGGTTTGTTGGTTGATTGATAAAATATCACCAGGATCATTTTGAGTCTTACCTTCAGGTAAAACATTTTCTAGTTACTATAGTCTTGCCACTATCACCCTACGGTTATCCACAGAACTACACCTCTGGCGTTTCCCGAATACAATGCATTCTTGAGATACCATATTTTTAAGTGGTTGATAATGTTGTTAGCCTTATTTCGCTATCTCTCAAGCAGTAACTTTAAAACTGCAGCACAGAACTATGTAGCTCTTCTGTCTCTGCCTGCGGCTCACATTCCCCCTCCCAGCTGCTTGCTTC